CCCCCCCCGCGTCTGCGGCGCGGGGGTTGGGAGAACGGCCCCCAGGTGCGGGACTCCCGCGCGACGTTGCTCCACCCCGCTGGCAGCGGAAGCCCCCCCTACGTGGGGCGGCCGTTTGCCGACAATCGGAGTCCGCTCAGTCATCGGGTGGCACGGGTGGTGAAAAATAAAAAGAGGGCCCCGGTGCAGAGCCGGGCCGACCTGTGCCGAGGTTGCGGCCGCCGCTGGCCGGGCAATCGCCCCCATACCACCCGGGGCGGCCCAGCCCGAGAGAAAGAGAGGGGGAGAGAGAGAGAGAGGCAGGGAGACGGAGAAGCGCGACGTTCCGACCCACACCAGGGGTAATAAAAGCACCGTCGGACAAATACCGCACAGAAGGGGCACAGCCCCTTGTCCGGATCCACCGCGGCCGGGAAATGGGAACCCGCCCCGAGTGGGGCCAGGCTGTCGGCGCCATTTTCCCCAGAAGCGGTGCGGATCAGGCGGGCGCGAGGGGGCGGGATCCCAGGCGCGCGGATTCTTTGGCCCCGCCCGGCCGCCCCGCCGTGCTCCGGGCGGCCGCGTGTTGGAACCCTGCGCGCGGGCACCCGGGCGGCAAATGTGCGCATGCACTCTCGCACTATCGAGGGGGCACGTACGCACGCACGCATGCACTCGGGCAATCGCCACAAAAGAAGCCCGCGGGCCCACTCTGCAGGCAGTCTTCGGCCGGCTCCGCGCCCCCCTAAAGTTGGCTTTCGCCTGCCTTGCCCGCCCCCCGCGGGGGTCTGAGGCGAGCCGATCACCCCGTCCCCCCCCCCCGCCGCCGGCCGCCGGCCGCCGGCCGCCACACAGCCGCGGGTTGGCCGTAACCCGCGGCGCCCCGGCGCCCGGGCCATCACCATCTTCATGTCTCGAGCGCACTCGTTGCACTTTGCCCCCCCCCCCCCCCGCCCCCCCCCGGCCCGGCCACCCACACGCGCCCCTTTTCCGCCCACACGCATGCGCCCGCAAGCCCATGCGCAGGCACGAACTCCAGGACTGACGTCGGATGTTGCCACGGCCCGCGAGTCACCCGGCAACACAGCACGCCAAAAAGGCCTTTGCCAATGAGCCGAGCTCCGGCATCCGAGGAAACACAATATTTCGGCGTCGCCCGTCCCCCCCCCCCCCCCC